CACAAGAGAAGTCCGGCTCTCAGCATGGGGGCGTGCAGGGGGCTCCTCCCTGTCCCCAGGACCTGCTCGCCGCCCCTGCACAGAGGCCTGTCCCTTCGCCTCTACCCACAGCATCACTGAAAGACAAGAGCTCAAGAGACTCCCTCCCTTGGACACCCACAGAAGGCCAGGCTAACACTGGAGCCAGGAGCCCCTTGCAGTTCTCAGCATTCCCCGCCACCATCTCAGCACCAGGGGGCGCTCTGTTGACACTCGGCCCCCTTGGCTTGGGCCAGAGGTCATCCGTGGCCACCTTTTCTCCCCATCCTTCCAGCCCTTGGGCCTTCACCTGCAAGCTGAAAAATGTTATTACTGGAAACAACCGATTTTCCTTTTGAGCCTCGGGAAGTGTTTGCACCCTGAAGCAGCTTTCTGAGCCATCCGTGGCCGGGGCAGCCACACCTGTTCCTGTGCACCTTTATGCTCTGTGAGGACCTTGCCAAACGCTTTCAAACCCAACATAAACTGTGTTTAGATTTTTGACACATGATCTCTTCTAGACTTTCATTTGCCTCCTGACCATCTGGGTTTTCCCCTCTTAGCTCCATGGGTCGGCAAGGCTGTTCTGATGCTGGTGTCTAAGCCATAGGCAGAGGAGACCTCCACGGGTGGGGATGGGGACCAGGCAGGAAGAGTAGAACCCTCAGGCCCAGTGTCCCTGGGGCATGGCCTGGGTCATCTCCGGGGCAGTGAGGGGCCAGAGCTAAGAGTGGAAGGAGCCAGGGTGGACACTGGCCTTTTGGACAGACCCTCATCCCCGGCTCTGTGATTTTCCTGGGCTGCTGATGCAACAGGCTTGGATGATGCCTTAGTGGAAAGTGGGCAGCATGTGCCCTAGTCCTGGCTGCTGCTCAGAGCCCTCTGGGAATGGAGTGGTGAGCAGTGGGGAGCTGCACCCATGAGGACTTCACCCTGTATCAGGCAGGCAGGCCCAGGGCCATGGGGAGCCTTGGGGAGGAGCTGTTGGAGAAGTTGCTGGAGTTCCGGTGCAGATCCGGCTGGGTCCCGGTCGTCACAGAGCAGCTGCAGTTGGAGTGTCTGCTTAGGGCGGACTCAGTGTGTCAGCGATGCTACAGGGTGGTGGGGCACGCAGAGCCGTGTTGGAATGGTGTGGCCAGGAGCCAGCACCCATGCTAGCTGGCACCTCTGCCCTTTAGCTCGCCTTGTAGCCCTGCTGTCAGCTTTGCCCAGGGGGCACTGTGCCCCTGCCTTGGCTTTGAGCCACATGAACTTGACTTGCTAGGCATTGAGGAAGTAGACTTTGGGGGTGAGGAAGAGAATGACTATGCAGTGGAGGAGACCCTAAAGCCTCTGGCTCACGGATGCCTACCCCATAGAGGAGACCCCCTCCCTTCCCTCAGCTCCCCCTGTAGGCTGTGTCAGCCCTGGCCCTGGAGTCACCCCACACAGGCAGCCTCCAGCCCTCGTCTGATTCTTGGCTGGGCCAGGAGCACCAGGGCCCTTCTTCCAGGTGGGCTAGCTTGGACGTCCAGGCTCAGAGTGGCTTCCTGCTCCTTCCTATGGCTTCTGAATTACCCCAGGAAATGAGGCCATGGGGCATCCTGGCTGCCCTGAGAACCGCCCCCTGCCTCCTGCCCACCCCATTATGTGGCGGGGGCCACAGGTGGACAAGGCTGAGGACCCTGTGAAGCCCAGTTCTCTGGGCTGGGGAGCACTCGCCTGGAGTCCAGTCCTGATTCCGTGGCCAATGTGGACCCTGCCTCCCCTGGCCTCAGCTTTCCTCCATGCACAGTGCAGGGGAGAGCAGGTCTGTCCACCAGGCCTGCCCAGTCTCCTGGGCAGTGCCCGTGTTCTCAGTGATGGGCTGGGTGGAAGCCTGGAGGTCAGGCCTAGGTTTGGGTCAGCAGATCTCAAGGCCAGGCTGCTTCTGAGCGTGGCAGAGGGCAGGGCCTGGCTGGTCCACAGGGCAGTGGGTGGACTGGTTTGCTGTCTCCAGGCCCCATGCAGGGTGTCCTTGATCAAGTCCTTGGTGTCATTGCTGATGGGCAGCCATGGTCTGCAGTCACGAGATGCACAGGATGCTGAGCAGGTGAGGCTGAAAGGCAGAGAGGGCTCGGAGGTCATCAGGACCCTGGTCCTGGCTGGGCAGGCAGTGGTGCCCTGTCTGGCAGGACCACTGAATCCTGACCTACGTGGCCACTTAGCCTCATGTTCATCCAGCTTACGAGGGTCCCAGCAGGTATCTCAGGGGTTCTCAGCAAGGTAAAAGCTGAGCCTTCAACAGGGAGCTGGGCTCAGCATGGTGTGGGATCACAGCTCAGTGACACCAGTGGAATTCTCAGGACAACTAATGCCCTGAACAGACACCCAGACAAAGGAAGCCCTTTTGGGCCAGTGTGGCTCAGTCCCCCGGCTTGTGACCCAGCAGGCCTGCTGATGACGTAATAAAAGTGGGGCAGGAATTTCCTTTCGAGATTGGATGGATTGCCCACTTGCAAGATAGCCATCAGTCTGAGCTCTCAGGGTCTCTGATCCAGAAAGCCAAGCAGCAGTGGGTGTGGACCCTCCACGCAGGCCACTGACAAGAGCCTAGCAGTTAAAGCCAAGCCCAAAACAGCTCCACAGAGCTCACCATGGGCCCAAGTCGCAGGCCAGTGTGTGTGTGTGTGGACAGCAGGGTAGGGGCACGAGTGGGGCTTTGTGACTATCCGAGCTACGGAGGGACAGGCATTTGGTCTTGTGGTTAAGATGCCCATGTTCCATATTGGAGTGTCCGGATTCACTTGCTGGCTCTGGCCCTTGATTCCAGCCTCCTACAGGGCAGACCCTGTGAGGCAGCAGGTGATGGCTCCAGCGGCTGGGTCCTTGCCATCCACGTGGGAGACCTGGATCAAGTTCCCGGCTTCTGGCCCAGTCCAGGCTGAGGCCGGGCTATCCGGGGACTGAACGTGTGGATGGGAGACCTGCATGCCCTTTTGTCCATGTCCATGTCTCTGCCTCTGACTGAGGGTTCTGTTGTTTGCTGATGGAATTCATGTTTTGCCTTCCCAATGGCTGAAGTGGAAGTTGGGGGCAGATCCTAGGAGCTACCTGTCCCTGGGGATCCCAGGCCACACACTGCCAGGCCTGGGCGAGGAGGGTACCCTGGCCTGCTCCTGGTGGCTGTTCCCCATCCCACTCAGGCAAGCCAGACTTGCCACCCTGCAACTCAGACCAGTACCCAAGGGCAGGCCTCTGTCTCCCCTGAGCAGTCTGCACCCAGGCATGCGTGGCCTGTCCGAGGCAGAGGCAGGGGTGCACCAGGTTGTCTGCGGGACACGTGCTGAGGTGACTGGAGGAGGAGCTGTCCCACAGCAACTGTGGGGCCAGTGCAGGAGCTCAGTGGGGAGCCCCAGAGGCAGACTTTGGCTCCATTTGGAGAGAGCGTCTGCTTGTTCAGGGCTACACACTGCTTTGAGCACTGCCTGGGGAGGGAATGAGCTCTCCATCACTGGGGGTGTGCAAACAGCATCTGGACAGGCCTCAGTGTCTCCCACCCTGCGGATGTCCACAGGATCTACCTGCCACTCCTGCTGGGGACTAAGGGCAGCCTGGCATGCAGACAGCATGGGCCAGAACCAGCTGCTGGAGACAGGTCTCATGTGAGGCCAGAGGATTGGGACTCAGAGCTGGACCCGGGCCTCTGATGTCCCTCCCCAACCCCTCGGCTCCTTTGCGGTCACTGCCTCCACAGGAAATCATCTCAGTGCTCTCATTAGCAGAGGCAGAGGCAGAGAGAGAGATCTTCCATCTGCTGGTTCACTCCCCAAATGGCTGCAACAGCTGGAGCTGTGCTGATCTGAAGCTGGGAGCCAGGAGCTAGGAGCTTCTTCCAGGTCTCCCATGCAGGTACGGGGGCCCAAGGACTTTGGCCATCTTCCACTGCTTTCCCAGGCCACAGCAGAGAGCTGGAGTGGAAGTGGAGCAGCCAGGACTCGAACTGGCAACTATACGGGATGTTGGCACTGCAGGCGGCGGCCTCACCAGCTATGCCACAGTGCCGGCCCCTGGGCCAATTCTTACACAAAGGATAGGCACTGGCAGTGATGGCACTGTTGTCAGGGGGCTGCAGGCTGGGCTTTGGCCAGGTGACATGGATGAGTGACGGGTGGTCTTGGAACAGGTCAGGAATTTGTGGTCAGGCAGCTGCTGGGCCCAGTCTTTGGCATCTGTGGCTTCTGCTCCCTGGTCTGTGGATGGGAGCATGCCAGGACATGATCTCTCCCAGAGCTTGGAGCGCCAGGCCCATCTGTCTCTGCAGACCTGATGTGGTCTAATGGATGCTCAGGGAAGCCTGGACAGAACCCTCCAGGGTAGCTGGAGGCTGGGTTGCTGGCCTCTGTGGAAGAGGCTGAGTTAGTGTGGGGGAGGGGAGACTGGGAGGCTGGACAAGTGACCTGAACTGGAAGGGGTCACTCCCGGGACCTCTGCCTGGGCTGTGCAGCCAATCCTTTAGGATCCCAAACTGAGCTGGTCCTGGCCCCTCTTATCCTGCCCACCCCTCAAAGTGCAGTGCTCTCATTAGCTCAGGGAAGCTGCCTGGAGGTGGAGGCCTCTGAGAGGAAGTAGGGCCTGAGCAGACTTTGGACACATGCCTCCCTGGCTGGGCAGCTGGAGCGGAGGGGCCCCAGCTTTCTGGGGACAGCCCTAGCCCAGCACTGGCACACTCAGCCCTTTGGAGACCAAGGGGTAGAGGGGCCCGCGCTGCGCCAGTTCTGAGTGGCAAGAGACATTTCCCTGCTGTTAGGCGGGGGGAGGTCAGACGGGCGTCCACAGGTCTCCAGGTCTTGTAATTTCCTGTTAGTCCGCGGCGGTTGTGAAACTGCCAATAACTCGCTAACAAGACCAGTCAGTTACCTGGTTGATGCAGGTTTTATTTATCATGTAACCATTAGTTCTGAGACAAGAATCCAATTCAGAACGTATTTCGATTTTAGAAAACGTACAAATCAAACCTCATATTTTGATTATTTTTCTTATGTGAAGTTTTAATTTTTCACTCATTATTTGGTTGTGGGAAATTGTTACAGGTGACAGCATTTGTTACATTAGAAAACAGATTTTCAGTACAGGCTGAATATCCCCTGTCCAAAATGCTTGGAACCAGAAGAGTTCTGGATTTCAGATGTTCTGAGTTATCTTGGGAGTGGGACCCAGTTCTAAACATGAAATTCATTTATGTTTCATATATACCTTATACACACAGACTGAAGACAATTTTATACAACATTTAATAATTTTGTACATGGAACAAAGTTCAAGCTGTAGAATTTCCTACTGTGGTATCATGTCGATGCTCAAACCATTTTGGATTTGAGGGCATTTCAGACTGGAGATGTTCAAGTTGTACAGCCAAGAGGCACAATTATAATAAATCAACACTTCTGATGAACACACATTTGAATTCCAACTACTTAAATAATCCATGGCTGAGATTAAAACATACCTCAGTTAACTGACTCTAACAGTGTACTGTGGAAAAAAATTCCGATTTCTTCAGCAGCAAAAGCCACAAAAACAGTGTCCTGCACTGGGATTCACCTTGTCTCCTTGAGAAAGGACCTGGATCTGGTTTAAAATATGACCTGAAGGAATGGCGGGGTAACTGCAGAGGGAGCTGCACCCCGTACATCTGATCTCTGGCTCTGCTGGGGACGCTGTACCCTGCAGGGCTAACCAGGGGATTCAAATGTCGGTAGGGACAGGAAGGTGGGGGCTGGGGGCACAGAAGTCCTGAGCGGTGTGAGCCATTTTACATTCCACGCGACTCCTCGCAGCTCTCTGGGATGCAGGCCAGAATTCTCCTGACGGTGTGTGCCCATGGGCACCAACGAATCCCCTCCTTCAGGGTTTCAGACAAGTGTCCTGTCTGCTGGTTTGGTGCTGGCAACGGCTAGTTTTTTAATCGGGAGGAGAAATGATGGGTTTACAACTAAATTCTCTGTCACTGAATATGTCACACTGCTCATGACACTGTCCGCCCCATGGATTCAGCTGATCTTGTTCCTTTTTCTCTGAGGCAAAAATCGATTATCTAATTTTTTCTACTTATCCATCATTGGTTTTGGACATCAGCTGTCCCTTGCTGGCTGCAAAATAATGTGTGTGCATTTGTACATGAGAGACATAACCATAACGATGCATGTTGAGTCATGTTACATGTAGGAGATCCCTTCAGACTTTTCTTATATCCTCTCTCTCTCACACATACACGCACGCACACACACTTGTCCAGCCTCATTTACATTTATAAAAATAGACAACTCTTGTAGAATCATTCATTTGTATATCTCTAAAAATATGTTCTTTCTCCTAACCTCTTTTTACCTAGGTTTGTCAGCCCACATGGTAAAACTGGGAGATAAAACCTTTTCAAAACAGATTTTCTAGCAGAAATTAATTAAAAAAAAGGTCTACCTTTAAAGCAGCATCTAGAAATTTTTGTTTTTGTAATATGTAAATAATACTGTTGTATTAAACTGTGGATTTAAATAAGCTTCATTTAACAGCTTCTTTCTTATGGCTTTAAAAAAATAAAACAGGTCTCTGTGTTACTTAATGGCTTCTCCATTCTTCCAGTTCCAGGGAATACACAGGTCTCCGTCCTGCAGGACGGAGTAGAAGTGGGAGACGCACAGGTGCATGCCGCGCAGGGAAGGCAGCGACTGCTCCAGGAGTCTTGTGCAGCAGTCCACCATCTGCGCGCTCGAGATGCTGGGCTCCTTGTACAGCTTCTCCAGGGAGAACCTCTTTGCCGAAGCCTCTATCAACTCCTGCTCAATGCTCTTCAGCCTGGAACATCAACACACACGTTGCTGTCAGCCGGAGTGCATGAGGGAATGTCAGATGTTACCATGGTCTTATGTTTTGGGGCTGCAGCTCCCCATGCATGGCAATGACAGTGGCCTTCACTGGGCCCCGAGATGTTTCCTGTGAAGAGTCACCGCACAGCCCCTCGGGAGGGGTCTCCTCGTGGATTGCAAGAGTACGGTATTTGTCAATCTTTGTAGCAGTAAGGCAAAAATAATTAATGCACAATTTCAAAAGCTCCTTTCCTGCTTCACTCAGCAGCTACTAGTGACTGAAGAAAGCAGAAAGTTGAGAATATAAAACCCCAAGCTTTAGGCACCACCTGAAGTTTAACCCTTGGGCACTAATAACTTTTTTTCCAAAACAAACAAACATTTATTTATTTATTTAAACAGCAGAGTTTTAGAGAGCGAGCGAGAGTGAGAGTGAAAGATATCTTCCATCTGCTGGTTTACTTCCAAACGGCCGAAGCCATGAGCCTGGAATTCCATCCAGCTCTCCCACGTGTGTGGCAGCGGCCCAAGCCCTTGGGCCACCTTGTGCTGCTTTCCCAGGCACATCAGCAGGGAGCTAGATCAAACAGAACAGCCAAGGACTTGAACCAGTGCTCTCATGGGATGTCAGGGTCATAGGCAGCAGCTTAACCTGCTGTGCCACAACGCCAGCCCTCAGTACCGACTTCTAAATCTTCCCAGAGTAGACAGCGGGCTCACAGCGAAAGCTGGAGCTGGGACACCAGGTTCTCGCCACTCTGACTTTTCCACCCCTGCCAATCCCTTTCTCATCCTTCCCTTTCAGGTGTCTTGTCCCACCAGGAGCTCCCGTCCAGGCCTACAAGTTCAATACCTGCAAGCTGAACTCAGTGTCTCAAATCCTTTCTCCCAGAGGTGGCAAATGCTCCTGGATCAAGTGTTCTACTAATTGTCCCCATGCCCCACTCCCAAGGCTGTGTTCACAACACATTTACCTGACATTTGCACAGATAGACTGGACCAACGCATATGATACCTACGGATAAGGTACGAGATGTAAGACTGCCACGGTCAGGTGCTTCTGAACCAGTGTCACTTAAATACTGTACAGGTTAACGGCAGCCATCTCTCCTGTATTTGACCACCCTCAAACTCTGCACGAAAGAGGAGACTATCATAAAGTACCCGTGAGGTAAGCAGAAGTGACTGTTAACGGGTCTGTAGTCAGCTGCCCTCGGATCACCCTCTTGGGGGCTGCTGGCTGCTTCCACACAGCGCTGCTCAGATTCAAGAAAGCGGACAGTGGTTAGGGGAGACGGGGTTCTCAGTTCTCAGAACTCATCTTTAGGATGAACTACACAGCAGGGCATGACAAGCTCCTGTAAGGGGCTTTTCCACTTGCTCAAAAAAATAATAAAGACATTAACAAGATATCTATAGCCTGACTTAGAACGAGGCCTGCAGTGTGAACAAGCTCTGTGTGGTTCCATAGCTGCTCCCTACATAAACCTGGGTAGGGTCCCCACACTCCTTCTAAAAGAAGTCTATGGTCTCAGCCCAGGTTACCCGGACTCTGGGCCCCCGCCGATGATGGGGAGAATGCATCAGTCCTTCTAGGCTGTGACTTCGGTTTGCTAGCACGAGTGCTCAAGAAATGCTGGCTGAATGAATGTGCATTCTTTTACAAGGCTGTTTCTGCCTTGTGAAAGCGTCAGAATTCCTCCACTTGTCTATAACTGTGCATTTCCATTGTTTCCAATTTGTACAGGTGATTCTGGAGTTTGGAGTGGGTGACACTGGGTGAGTGAAACATCAGAGCGAGTCCATGCTTGGGAGCCTGGCTTACTCTCAGGCGCCGGCCACCCTCCTTATTGCCAGCCTGCATCAAGAGCTGTAAACTGGGCTGCTGAGGCCTCAGAGGAGTGTGGGTTCCCCTTTTCTATGCCCCAGCTAGGCAACAGGAGACGGGTGCTACTGAGACGGTCATGTGGGTCCTAGGAAGGTGTTAGGTCAGAAGAATGCATTTCACCCTGTCTAGCAAGCTGGCGTCCTGCACAAGTGTGCAGCGCGCCTACGGCTATGGCTGCCTCGAGTTCCTTTCTCCTGGAAGAGGAGGAGATGTCAACTTCTATCTTGTTTAAAAACCTGCTTTATAAAGATGTATGCAGTGGGAAAGGGTTTGAAAATCAGAGGATCAGTGGGAACATGGTTCCTGTAAGGAGAGAAGGTGCCTTAATCCCTCCCTGGAGAATGCGTTGGAGGCGACCTTGACACGGGGAGAAAGCAAAGGAAAGGAGAGAGGACCATGGGGAGGGCAGGCTGCTGGGGTGGGCCCAGAGCCCAGTCTGGGGGACAGTGAAGGCCATGACTCAGCAGGCAGGTGTGCTGGGCTGGAAGCGAATGCTTGTTCTCCTTGGAGCATAAGCATGGGACGGGGCCCGGAGCTGGGGAGGGGCTTTGGCAGTGAGAAAAGTTGGTGGATTATTTGCTAAGGGCCGGCTGGGGAATAAAACAGGTCCAGCTCTGCCCTCCCAGGGTGTGCATGCGCGTTCTGTGTCAAGAAGAGGGACCACAGAGGGAACGCAATGGAGAATTTCTTTCTGGTATTTTTATTTTTCATTCTGTTCTTGAGTTGAATTTTGTTATTAACAAACCCTGCTTCTCAAACTGAGGTACATGGTGGTAATGCACTTTACCTACTTACACTCATACTTAGAAAATAGCCACATGAAATTTCTTGTAGGTGGAGAATAAACAAATATGGACTATTCACTAGTTTCCTAAGTTTAATTCAGCTTTTAAAAACAGCTATTTTTGGAGCAGACCTGCGTGGAGAGCGTGGGAGCCCACAGTTCGGGACATCAGCGGCAGACTCAACACACCAGCGCTGGAACGCGAGGTGAGCCAAACCTCAATAACCCGAGACACCGGCAGGCAAGCGGAGAGAGGAGACTAGAGGGAACGACCCCCGGGGCGGGGGGGACTTCACCAAGCTAACTGGAAGAGAGAGAGAGGGAAAAAAAAAAAGGTGACTGGTATGGATACGGGTTTCTCTCTCTCCGCTCACCTCTCAAGGGCGAGCAAGACAAAGAGCAGGCGCCATCTTGGACATACGTCATAAGCAGAGCGACCTCAGGTCTGCACCGGCCCTGAGCCTAGCAGTAAAACCTGACTCTGGGTGGGGCGAATTAACAGGAGATTAGGACTTAGTAAATTTATGGTGCTACTGAACTGAGACTGTGAAAAAAGAGACGGTGGGGGAGAGAACTCACGGAATTCACGTGAGCACTCTCCAGAGACGCTACAATTCCGTAACTTTGGCAACCCAGTGGGAGACTGAAGGAGAATTTGAGCGCACTCTAAGGGCCGAACAGATTCCCTGTGTGGTCCTTGGGAAAGAGCTTCTGATCTCTGGCTCCTGTGGGTATATCATTTGCCTGCTAACTACCTCCAACTTTGTTCAGCTGTGCAGAATAACTTCCCTGTTGAATCAAAAAAAAAAAGAGAGAGAGAGAGAGAGAGGTTTACCACGCCTAACCTGGGAGTGTCACCTTTGGCACACCAAACAGAGCTCTCAGGCCACACCCATCTCAAGCCCTAAGGCTCCATCAAAAACAGATAGTCCACTTAATCTAGAGTCATAGTATAACAAGAAAAAGCACCACAGTGAAGAAACCAAATATCTCCAATATGACAAATAACAAACGCAAAAACCAAGGTAATAAAAACAAGGAAGTCACCATGAAGCCCTCAAATGAAAAAGACACCCCAATTCAAGATTATGAGGATGATGACATAGAAGAAATGCAAGAAGCAGATCTCAAAAAATTGATAAGAACATTAAGAGGTTCTCAAAAACAAATTCTTGAACTACAGAAATCCTTAATGGACAAGATAGAAAATCTCTCTCGTGAAAATGAAATATTAAGGAGGAATCAAAATGAAACGAAACAACTAGTACAACAGGAAACTGGGATAGTGACTGAAGTGAAGAATTCAATAGATCAAATGAAAAACACAATAGAGAGCCTTACAAACAGAATGGGAGAAGCAGAAGAGAGAATATCGGACTTAGAAGACAGAGAACAGGAAAGGATACAGTCAGACCAAAGAAAAGAAGAGGAAATTAGGAATCTAAAACATATTGTCGGGAATCTTCAGGATACTATTAAAAAACCCAACATTCGGGTTCTAGAAGTTCCTGAAGGCATGGAGAGGGAGAAAGGATTAGAAGGCCTTTTTAGTGAGATACTAGCAGAAAATTTCCCAGGTTTGGAGAAGGACAGAGAAATCCTAGTACAGGAAGCTCACAGAACCCCTAATAAACACGACCAAAAGAGACCCTCACCACGGCACGTTGTAATTAAACTCTCCACAGTGAAACATAAAGAAAAGATCCTAAAATGTGCAAGAGAGAAACGTCAGATTACTCTCAGAGGATCTCCAATCAGACTCACAGCTGACTTCTCATCAGAAACTCTACAAGCTAGGAGGGAATGGCAAGATATAGCCCAGGTACTAAGAGAGAACAACTGCCAGCCCAGAATATTATATCCTGCAAAGCTATCATTTGTGAATGAAGGTGAAATAAAGACTTTTCATAACAAACAGAAATTGAAAGAATTTGTTGCCACTCGTCCAGCCCTGCAAAAGATGCTTAAAGATGTGTTACACACAGAAACAAAGAAACACGGTCATCAATATGAAAGAAGGTAAAGGAAGGAAACCAAGGAAGGAAAGCTCACAGCAAAAGATCACAGGGAATTCAAAGCATATATTAGAACTTATCTTTGGCAAATGGCAGGGCAAAGTTACCACTTATCATTAGTCACATTGAACGTGAATGGCCTGAACTGTCCAGTTAAAAGACACCGTTTGGCTGATTGGGTTAAAAAACAAAACCCATCTATTTGCTGCTTACAAGAAACACATCTTTCCAACAAAGATCCATACAGACTGAAAGTGAAAGGCTGGAAAAAGATATACCATGCCAACAGAAATGAAAAAAGA